TGTAGTGCTGCTGTCCTGTGCAGAAATGAAATAGTTGGCACTGGTCACTGCATTACCAACCGATGTTCATCCTGAGTGGTTTCAGTGTTGGCATCAAGAGAAGATATTTGAAACTGACACCTTGCTGTCTTGCAGGTGGAAAGAGGGCATTGATTGTGGCAACATCTTCCCAGCTCACTGCCAACTCTATTCCCAGTTCAGCTTCCCACTTGATTTTTGAAACTTGAACTCTTAATTCAATCAAAACATGAAAACTAAAGTGGGTGCGGAGAGCAGCTGGAGACCAAAGCCACAATAAAACATGGTACAGATTTGAGAGACCTGTTTTTCAGCAGTGACTAGGCTAGAGGCCATATGCTGCTGAGCCATCTGGTCTTCCCTCAGCTTTACATGCCAGTTGGTAAAACCAGACTCTCTCATATCTTTGTACACATGCAGGTAAAGGCAAGGGTACACATTGGGTGGGTATTGACCTTCCCATTCATACTTTTTCCTGGGCTTGTCTAGAAGATAACTGAGCACAGCAGGATCTTTAGAGCCAAGAGCTTTAGGTTAGGGATACAATGCTGGAATTATTAATAGCACCTTCAGTCAGCTTTTTGATGTGGAGATGATTGCAGGGTGAAGTGAAACTGACTCTGAAACCAACCAGCTGGCATGGAGCTTCACCTCATTCTTCAACTCTGCTTTGGTCTCCTGATTATTTCTTGTCCTATGTTTCTGGTTGCTTCCTGAGACAGTGCACTGAAGGGGACTTCAGGCCTGCAAAACAGCCCAGTTGGAAAATAAAAAGCTTTTACAGTCTAGAAATTCTTTATTCTGGACGGGAAGGGCAGAATATTTAAGCATATTTGTTCCCCATTAGCCTGTTTATAGGGGTGTGGACTTTAATTTTTTATTTCATATAGGATCCTATCAGATTTTATACGCTGGGTAAGTAATTTCCTGTAATGGCACAAAGCAATCTCATGAAGCACTCATCTCTTTTCTTCTGTAAATCTATCTATAAATATCAGCAAGAGAAACTCCTATAGCATTCTAGTTTGCATCATAGTAAAGTCAATATGGCTGTTGCCATTGGCTTGCTAAATGATAAACATATGGAAAACAGGGGCCTTTTCTCAATAAAGCAAACCACCATCTTTGACAGCTTTTCACCCTCGTGTTATTAAAATTGCTTTCTAGCTTTATCCACATACACATTTTCACTGGCTACAACTCCATTGTTGTAAATAGCTGTATTAATTTCACCTTGATGCTTTCCTTCTGCTTCAGATCACAGGACAAAAGAAGCTATAAGGATAAAGATAGGATTATCTGCAGGTTTTCTAAACTTTTAAAGAATCCAAAAGAAGGGAGGCTGGTAGACTCACTTTCCATGTAAGCCAAAATGGAGCTGAATACACTGAAACTTCTTCCATGTTCTTAAAATTGAACTTCCTTCAGAATTTCGGCTTCCCTAACCCATAACAGAAACACATCCCTGTAGCAAACTTTTTGTAGTTAGATTCCTAGAAAAGTAAGGAAATATTTTAAAAGCAAGCACATCTATTTCTTTTAAGAGATTGATTATTTATAGGAACAATTTTTAGGAAATGTCTTACCTGGATTGCCAGAAAAACATGACAGTGTGCAAAAAAAAAAAAAAAAAAGGAGCTTTCACTGTTTTCTCTACATTGAAAAGGAGATTTCATTGGTACCCTACCAGTATCATTGGTACTGGTAAGTAGCACTCGAGATACCTCCTTGAAGTACCTCCTTGTGTGAAGGTACTTCTTTGAACGGTATGTACCATTCAGGGTACTGGACCTTGAGGACCCTGAATGTTACCCAATGTCTCTGCCATCATCCTCGAAACAGTCTTCATTTCTGGGAACCTGGACAGCACTGATGAGATCTTATAGGCCTCACAGGTTGAGCTCTTAGAGGTTGACCTCTGGTGCTCAACCACTGCTGAGATCAGTGTTCTCATCCAGTGCCCTGCTCAGGACAGCCTTGACAAAATTAATTGCAAAAATGAATACTCTGGTTTTGTGGCTGTGTAAACTATGAACGGATTATTAGCGATGTCTTAGCTGGTTTCATCAGAAAACCTTACGGCACCTGTGTTTGCCAGATCTCAGACCTCTGCAAACTTGATGATGTAGGCGTTCTCCTTCCAAGAAAGGACAGGATCATTTGGTGAATGCAGGTCCCCAACATTACTCATACACTGGGGAGTCTTAAGACCCTATCCAACCCAGGCAGTTATGATGCCCATGGAAAGACCTTTGCCCTATCTGTCTTTGGCTGGAGGTGGAATGTGCGGTTGTCTAACTCTGCACTGCCTGGCTGGATCCTGATCTTCCCTGTGAAATTCTGAACAGGACTTAGAAATTTTCATGTTTTTTCTGTGCTCATACCCTGCATCAGGGATGTTGCTGTCTTACTTCGCTTGGGCATTCTCCAGCTCTCAATATACAGTATACTGGGTCAGTAGGACTGAAACAGCCACTTGTAAAAGGAAGCGGTGGAAAAGGCAGTTCAGACAGCTCCTGGCAACTGAAAGACAACATTTGCAAAGAAAGTGGTTCTAAAATCTCATATACATTGTTGCTGCTCTTACATCATAAGCTTCCCCTTGCCATCTCATCCCTGAGTCCTCTCTACAGATCTATACAGCAAAGCCCTGCACTCAACAGAGCTGGGCACAGAGACAGGCCGTGGGTGCTGTGAATGGGTGTGGGAATACTGATGGGGATAGGATGGGGGATAATCCTGAGCTCTGGGATCTCCTCACTCCATTCATCTGCAAGGACATTGGGTGGAGACAGCGTTTTCGCAGAAAAACTCCATTGCTTGTTGTGCTTCCCACATGAATTTGAGAACTAAAGAGCTGGGACTCTAGGCTAGCTGCTGTTTCAGTCATGTCATCCCTCCTAAAGGCATCTCACATATCCTCGCAGTGAGGACAGGTCTGCCGAGGTGTCCCCAATCAGAAGTTGTTCATGAGGAACATTTCTAGTTCAGGGACACAGCCCCACTATCTTCTCACAGCTAGCAACAGAGTACAGTTGTATCTCTGCTATCCCATGTCCACAGCTCCCACAAACACATGGGTGCCTCTACCAAGGTTCCTATCAGCATTATAAACCTCAGAGTCTTTCCGTCCCTTAGTTTTACTGTCAGGTATTTGAGCATATCAGTACCTCCTAGAAACCTCTACTGTAGAGTCCTGCTAATCTTAGAAGGGACCTCTGGAGGTCTCTAGTCCAACCCACTGCTGGCAGCAGGATTAACTTCAAAGCTTGATTTGACTTGACAGGATTTGGAATTGATGCTTCAGTTTTGTCCTGTGCTCATTACAGTTATTTACTGTCTTTAAATCCTTTAACAGTATTTGATTCAAGTACTTCTCTAATGTACTTCTAAGGTACTTCCCTATTAGTAGGTAATATACTTTTATTGAGACCCTCCCCTTTTCATTTTTGGAAGACCTGGCAGGTGATTAAAATGTTCACTACAACTTTGATCATTTTAAATAATGCAGCTAAACCTTTGCTTACAGCAGTAATTAGGTATTCCTTGACATGAGAGCCAATATTCTGTGTTAATGTTTTAGCCTGGCCAGACTGTCAACTTGAAGACAGCTTTTAATGTGATTTTTAAATTCCACATTACTCTTTCGTCAGATGGCTCCAAGTTAACTTCCTTAGTTACAGTGCCAATTTTTTACATTAGTCAAATCCACTTACCATAATTTTTAATGATTGTAGCCCAGAGAAAGCAAATATCATTCTGCTCTCTCAACCTGCCAAGGGAGCGAGCTGAGGGCAGCTGAGGTGCTGAAATTCCTTTGGATTAGGCAGAGGAACAGAAGCAAGCCTTTTGTTTTTTTCTCAACAATTTGATACGTAAGAGGTGGGTTCTGAATCATAGGGTCTATCTGGGGCTTTAAAGAGCCATGGGGAAGGGAAGTATTAAATAAAATAATAAAATTCCTTCTTTCTCCCCCGTTCCTGTCCAAAACTGTTTTTTCCTGATTTGTCTGAATCATCCTGTTCCACCTACGTGTAGGAAACACACAAAATTACGCTGCATTGCACCTTTCAGACTCTTGTGTCTGCTGCAGTCCAGCACATGCTGTAACTCTCATTGGTTTCACTAAAGAAATTACAATAACTGTAGCAGTGGTATGATTAATCTGACGATGAGAGATTTCAACACTCCTTAGGCATACTTATTTATATGATATAGTCCTTCCCGATAAAAGTCACATGATAAGGCCAGTATCTTAGTCTTTATGTTGCCATAGGAACAATCCAAACCTGAAGCATCTCCCTACAAAAGGAAAGATTGCTTCCAGCGAAACAGGCTTGGGAAAGTCATACTCTTGTCAAATCGGCGGCACTTCCATTTTCATTATTTAGAATAATTCAAAATCAGATGAGTTTGCACTAATGATCTTTCCACTTGTGATGGCATGTTAGAGTGCAGCCTTCTGCTAAATTTGGTGAAAACCACAGCTTAATTTCCATTTCTTTCTAGGCATGGGCTTTCCTCTTCTAACCTTCCAGTAACCTTTTGCAGATTTTTTGTGCTGAAGAACTTACCACTCTAAAATTTTTTATTGATTTCCCATTTTCCAGTTTCTACTTTCATCTTGACAGGAAAATAATGAAACCAGTACAGCGGCTTTAAATAATTTTGTGTTGATCTTTTGATTGTGCTGAGATGACCATGAATCTAAGCATGAGTATGTACGTGATCACAGAAGTGAGACCACAAACTGATCAAAGTTCTTCTTCCTCACAAGTCATTAAAACATATCCCTTTAGGTAAAGTGTTAGGTTAGACACCTTTTTGTTTTGTTTCGGTTTTTTTAGCAGAGATGTCATTTTGTCCTAAACATATCGATGCATGTTGAATTCTGCCTGGATATTTGCCATAGTGAAGTCTATGGAGAATCTGGTCCTAACATGGTTATGGGGCTGTTTTCCAACAAGCACACATTTGCTCTACTAAAACTTACCACACACACCTCCCTCAGCTCTGATAGTATCCCAGTTCAGCTGAGCTATTTTCTTCCTCCTCAACATTTTCCTGAGGACCCCTCTGAATTCCTTGTTCCTCAGGCTATAAATGAGGGGATACAGTAACGGAGTAACGTTGGTGTAGACCAGAGACACCATCTTGTCTTGAGCTGACGAGTAACTGGACTTAGGACGAATGTACATGTAGGTGGCACATCCATAGTGTAGCAAGGTGATGGCCAAGTGTGAAATGCAGGTTGAAAAGGCCTTGCCCCTTCCCATGGAGGAGGTGACGTGTAGCAAAGCAGCAGCAATGCAAACATACAAGGTCAGGATTAGGAGGAAGGGGAGCAGCAGCAGGAGCATGCAGGCAGCCAGCAAGGGCAGCTCAGGGGTGTAACTCTGTGTACAAGCCAGGTGCAGCACAGCAGGGACATCACAGAAGAAGTGATTGATATGGTGAGACTGTCAGAAAGGTAAGCAGAAAACAGCCACTGTCAACACCAGGGCAACAGCAAAACCTCCAGACAGCAAGCCACAGCCAGCCGGAGGCAGAGCCCCTCGCTCATCACAGCTGCATAGTGAAGTGGCTGACAGATGGCAACGTAGCGGTTGTACGACATGACGACCAGAAGGAAGCATTCAGCCCCACCAAGTGCCATAAAAAGGTGCATCTGTGCAGCACAGCCTATGAAAGAAAAGGTGCTGCCATCCACCACTATCAGGCTGAGGAGCGCCTTAGGGACAATGACTAAAGTATAGCAGAGCTCAATGACAGAGAGCTGACAGAGGAAGAAAAGCATGGGAGTACGGGAAGGCTCCATAATCACCGCCATGAAGATCATCACATTCCCTGACAGCGTGACCAAATGGACAAGGAGAAAGATAAGGAACAGGAGGACCCGCAGACAGAGGAGCTCGGAGAAGCCGAGCAGGTGGAACTCCATGGCTGTGTCAGTGCTCTTATTGTCTCTCTCCACGAAGCCTTCACATGGCATCTACAGGGATAGAAACAGAAGGGAGACAGCTGAATTTGACCTGATGCCTGGCAATCAATTCCATGTAGGAAGTAATGTTGCAGTACTGCAGAACCAGTGCAGTAAAGCTCATTGTCTGGGGAAGAAGGTGATTTCATTTAAAACAAAACTGATTTCACTCAGTCACATTCAACACACTCTCAGACCCATCTTCTCAAAACCACCAAGGTTCTTGTACCCAAATGATCTGCTTAGGATTCTTTGCCATGACATTAGTGACAAACAATGTCAGCTGTTGTGTCTTCATCACTTCTTCTGAGTTGTTCTTAGGTTCGTGACCATGTGCAGGTTTTGAAGATGCATTAAGTACCCTTTAGGAGCTGACACTGATTAGTGTCTCTGTCCTGTCGTGCATTTGAGAGTCATCATTGGACTCTCCCTCCTGATCTGAGAGCCGCAGGAAGCTGCAGATGGATGTGTTGGAATCTTGATGACCAACAACACCTGAGTTTTGCAGACATTCTGCTACTGCTCCTTCTGGTGCTTCCAACCCTAGGCAGATCCGTTTATTCTCTATTCACACCAATACTGCAGTTCTCTACATCTGTGCCAGACATGTACAAGGAGAATCAGGCAGTGAGCTGGAGCTTCTGCTTTACAATCTGACTCCAATTAATGGGAATTTGAGGTGTTCGCTGACCGGCTTCTCCCTTCCCTGCAACGGATCTGCCTCAAAGTTCATATGGAAACGGGATTTCAAATGAAAGCGGTCACTGATTAGACATGAGGATTCCAAACTTAGCACTGACATTTTGGCTGCTTACATCTTTATGCCTGGCTCAGCCATATGGCATCAGAGTTAGAGTAAACAATCAAACCCAAAGCTGTCCATGGCAATGTACTCTGTATAACAATTGTTAAAAGCAAACACAAAACTAATATCATGGACTTAGAGGGAATGAGATCTTGCTTGTCACAGGAAGAACGGAAAGTTCCTAGGAATGTGAAGTGAAGCAAAGCTGTTTAAATTGTAAAGATCTAGAAAAGATATGAATGTAGAGAGCCACATAATAATAAATTTGGTATGCCGGTCACAAGTGAACAGTGCTCATTGCTCATGTGTTTATTATGTAATGCATTATTTACTACAAATAATAATTCCAACCCTTTCTACACTTTACCATAAAGCAGGAATAAAAGCAGAAATTCCTTGAAGACTTCAATTCACATCAAAAACCCAACAATACTTAAGTATGAAAGAAGCTGGAAAATTACATGAAATATTCCAATGCCATCAAGAGCAAATAGAAGGAATGGGAAGTTGATGGAATAAAAATATTAGTGGAGATAGGGATTTTCCTGGAAAGAAGATATCTCAAAAAAGCTCCAGAAAGAAGTAATTAATAAAGCTGAGGAGGTGAATCTGATAAGCCTACATGCCTTTGCCTTTATTTTTGCCACTGCAATCCCTGGAACTTGCTGCTCCAAGGTTTCCTTGTGACCCAGAATCTCAGCAGGATTCAAAACATCTGGGGACTCAGGTGAATAATGAAAACATCCACATTTATTTTACTTCAGTTCCAAAACTAGGAACTAAATCTCTGTGTTTCAGAGCTGAAGTCAGCAAAATCATAAAGTTAGGAACAAACTTTACCATAAGCTCCAAGACAAAAAAATGGACAGTCAGTAAAGACCAAGATGGAGGTCTTTAGAGAATGTAGAGGGAGCAGTGATCCCACCAAGGCAGGTAACTCAACAAGGGCTACTGCAGGACACAGGTCACTGTGGTTATAAAGCCATGGCTAATTCCTACATCCACCTTTTGCTGCTCCGGAACTCCCTGACAGCTATTGTAAACAGTCTGGCTGCAGAGCTTTCTTGACACTGTATGCAAGTGGTAGGTCTTCACAGAAAACAGGAGTAATGAGTTGAGAAATGATCTCAAGACTGTGGACTCAATCAGTGGGGAACAGCTGGGGCTCCCCTCGCTCAAAGTACTGAGACTTTAAGAGGATTCTACTAAACACAACAAAGCTAGAGAGTGAGGAAGAAGCAGGGGGTTCACTTCCTTTTGTTTGGAGCAGATCACTTCATTGATAACATACGGTCTCTGGGTTAGAAGATAAGGAAACAGAGGCTGCTTCTTCTTGATGATGTGTGTGGTTCAGTCTGGGCTGAGATTCTGTTTCTTGCCCAGTCTTGGGTCCCTCTGGCTGTGAGTGTCCCTAGAGCCAATGTTTTCTTTCAGCATTTCATAATCGTCCTCTCTTCTCTTCTGCAGGACCCAGTTCCTTATATACAAGACGACATAGATGTCTTTCCTCTTCCCTGCTGCCACTGCCCTCCCCACACGAATGACAGGCAGTTCCATTCCTCCCAAGAAAAAGGGGGTTGCGGTTTTTCTGTAAATCAAGCGACGGGTCCGAGGAAGGCAGTCTTGTAACACCCTCCTAAGGGCTCTTGCTCCTTTCACTGAAGCAGTTTAAAGAAGCTGATTATTCGTTGGGCTGGTATATACCAGATATGGCAACGATTTGATTAACAGAATGCACTGCTGCTCTTAAATAAAAATAATTCTGTTGGTCTTTAAGTAAGCTTAAAACAAATTCACACTGAAAGGCAAAGCAAAATAGACATAAAAACTTTAAACCCTTCTGTAGATCTGTGTGTGGAGTTTTCACCAGTTCAGGCAACCCATTATTTCTTGCTGACTCAGATGAAATCACTCTTCAGCAGTGGATAGGACTGAGATTATTCAGGACCAACTTATTTTTATTACTATTTTTCCATTCATTCCTGGCCACTTAAACTGAAATCGTTACAGAGATCTGTAGGTTTATATAGAAAAAACAGGCAAATTCAAGGTTTTTGACTGCTAAAATGGAACTGCTTTCCATTAACCCAGCTTGGCAGAAACAGGTAAATATGGTACCTTAAGATTTCTCAGGACGTGGTTTAGAGGAAGTCCATCTTTCAAAATATTCTTCTGTAATATTTTATGCATATGGTGCAGTCATTCTGGGACAAAACTACCCCATGCATCAGTACTGTCTGGGGACTAATTGTGTTGGGAGCAGCTCTGCAGAAAAGAACCTGGTCTTCCAGAAGGCAGGAAGAGGAACATGAGTGAGGAAGAGGCAATGAAGACCAACCACATACTGCACTGAAATAGCAAGAACACGGCCAGCAGGTGAAGGGAGGTGATTATCCCTCTTTATTTGGCACACGTGAAGCCACATCTAGAACACTGTGTCCATTGTTGCAGTCCCCCACACAAGAGATGGCAACAAGCTCAAGAGGAACACGTGATGTACAAGGAGAGGATGAGAGAGGTTTGTTCAGCCTGGTAAAGAGGAGGCCAAAAGGAGGATCTAACTGATGACTTCAGCTATCTTTTGGAGGGCTGCAGAGACAACAGAGCCAGAGTCTTCTCAGAAGGGCACAGTGAAACAGCCACAATGTTTACATTAAAGAAAATTCTGACTTGCCATAAAGAAAAAAACCACGTTTTTCTCACAAAGGTGGTTCAGCACTGGAACAGGTGTCCTGAGAGGCTGGGATGTCTTCCTCCTTGGAGGTGTTCACATGTTGCCTGATCAAGGCCATGAGGAGCCTGACCTAGCTCTGGAACTAGCTGTGCTGGGAGCAGGGTGTTGGACTAGAGACCTCCAGAGGTCCCCTCCCATCTAAATCTTTCTTTGAGTCTATGATTCTGGTCAGCCTTCATCAGACTCCCAGTATGGACAGGAGCAGAACTCTGTGTGTACCTGAGGAGCTTTGCTGTCAGAAATTGAAATACTTGTGGACTGTTGGCTCCTCCAAGGCCACTACCTGGGATTCTGTAGTGACACAATTTTGAAATTTGGCAGAACTTAAATGCCAAAGTCATATTGTAGTGGTTTTATTTTTTTTTATAAGTGTCATGTAACTCTTGGAATTAAAGCAATGACAGTGGGGTCTATCCTCTTTAGTCTCTCAATTTATTTTTTTAAC